AATTTCCTGTGAAAACAGAAGTAGCCTAACAGAACTTGACACAGCATTATAGAACATCAACAAGTATTGCACCCAGAGTACCTTGCACGTCATATCTGGATGTGGAAAGTCCATGACCGAACGTCGATATGTGACGAGGTCGGAGTGAGAATGTGTTGCAAAATTCCATCAACTAGTTGTTAAAACATTTTAGTTTGGACAAAAGTGGTGGACTGGCCGACTGACTGGCATTGTCATTCTTAAGAATATTGAAATGTAATCAGCAGATTTTAAATCTACAGAGCACACTCATGCTGCACAAACCTTATTCATTTTGGAGACTCCATGAGCTGTCCTTCAGCATCATCCTCAAGTCAAAGAGTGAACACAAGATCCATCCATCCATCCATTTTCTAACTGCTTATCCTCTTGAGGGTCGCAGGGGGGCTGGAGCCTATCCCAGCTGACACTGGGTTCACCCTGGACAGGTCACCAGACTATCGCAGACAACCATTCACACTCACATTCACAATTTAGAGTCACCAGTTAACCTATCCCCAATCTTGCATGTCTTTGGACTGTGGGAGGAAGCCGGATTACCTGGAGAAAATCCACACTGACACGGGGAGAACATGCAGACTCCGCACAGAAGGACTCCCACACCCGGGATCGAACCAGGAACCCTCTTGCTGTGAGGCGACAGTGCTAACCACCACAACACTGTGCCGCCTGAACACAAGATATCTAAGATATCTAACTGTAACACTGACATGAAATGTGATGAAAGTATTCATGCTCCTTGACAGATAAGCTGCGGCTGTGACTCGGAGGTAAAGCAGGTCGTTCACCAATTGTAAGATCAGTGGTTCGATCCCCGGCTCCTCCAGTCTTCTCCTTGAGCGAGATACTGAACCCCAAATTGCTCCTGATGATGCTTCCATCGGTGTGTGAGTGTGTTAAAAAATGAATAGCAGGTGGCACCTTAATGGTAGCCTCGGCCACCAGTGTGTGAATGTGTGTGTGACTGGGTGAATGTGACTCGTAGTGTAAAAAGTGCTTTGAGTGGTCGAATGACAAGACAGGTGCTAAACAAATGAGGGTCCATTTGCCATTTTCAATGACCCCTTGGACTTTTTGTTGGTCAGCCTAATTCAGTGTAATTCAGCCTAATTTTGTGTTATTAGTCTTACTGCCAGAGGGGGGAGACAAAAGTTCCACACTCCAGCTTTAAGTCACCCATAATTTGTTTATTTTCATCAATGTAAACTCAACAATTTGGCTTCTGAGGAATAAGAAAAAAAATCAAACAAAGGTGATAAATTATTTCTTTCACCTCTCAGAATATTCTCATGACTCTACTTCAATGTAAGACCTGAAACTGAAGAAACCTTTGCCTTGAGTGCATCATCCACACGACTCAGCCTTTTGTGGTACATTTGCATCCTGACAACAAACAGTTTCAAAATGAGTTGGCCACTTTTAGAAAAACAAATGACGCGTACCGTTTGCTAACATGATGTTTTACTTTTGCTCTGTAATAGTTCCATTTTTAGTTTATTTTCAGTGTAATATAAGTATAATGTCAGGAGGGTGAAACTTTAATGATCCCCAAAATAAAGATGTACTTGTGTTTTGGAATAACACGCTCTATTCACCAAGTGCTGATTTTAAAGTTTATATAAAGCAGTTTCGTTGTGTTTTTGTGACTGAACCTCTCAGAAAGCTCTGTATCAGTGACTCGAGTGCTGAAGAGGAAGGAAGAAGGCGGAGTGTTTTGCTGTGGTTTGCTGTTTCTGGCTGAGTGAACAGATGACACCAGGCTCAGTGGGCTGTGATAAGTCGTCTGGTGTATGGTTTGTGATTGATTCTCATTTTGTGAATTTTTGTCAGCTTTTCATATATATCAGTGGTTCCCAACCTGGGGATCGGAGCTGCACGGGAAACAGTTTACAAGATGATAAAAAGGAAAATATTATTTCTCCTCAGAAGTTGTTTTCCCCCCTGACTTCAGAGTTTTATCTCTTCAGGATTGTTAGAAAATATTCAAACATAACACAAAAGGCAACACTTTTTGGTTAAACACAACTCTTGGAAGCATGCAACTTGTGTAGTCATTGTGAGTAGACCTTGGCCAGGAATACTCAACTTGCTTTGCCCGGGGGCCACTGTTGCAAATGACAGCAGGCCAGAGGGCAGTTAATAAACAACTGTTAATAATTTATACATATTTAGCCCAAACCTCTGTCCAAGGGTCCTGAGGATCCACCCCTGGCACTTTTTTTGATAAACAACCTCTTTTTTTGTGCTTTTAAAATCATACACTATATAAAAATATTGAACGTAGCCACTGTGATGTCACACACTGGTTGTGAACTCCCGTTTTGAAGCCTTGAGTTTGACACTTGGCCGTGTCATGTTGGATTTTTCAGAGCCAGAGGTTACCATACTTGGACATCCAGCAACCAACGCACATGGTTGGGTTTAGGCAACAAAATCACGTGGTTAGGTTTAGGAAAAACAACAGGGTTTGGCTCTAAAATCTTACGGGACTCCCACCCGCCCTACTCAGACTTTTGCTGCCTTAACTTGCGTTCTTGTCCCGCTGCGTTTCCCGCTGAAGCCGCCAAGTGCTGTTATATTATAATGGCGACCGGCCGCGTTATCATGCCAACGTTAAAGGATGGCTTTTTCGTCAGCTAGTCACTGCCCAAGCACCGGATCTCATTGATTTAGGATTGAGACCAGATTGTTTTTTTGTACCAAGCTGTAAACATGACTATTTCTACTGTAAAGTTGGTCATTTTAACATGGGGTGTATGGGCATTGACTCACATTTGGAGCCAGCCTCAAGTGGCCATTAGAGGAACTGCAGTTTTTGTTACTTCTGTGTTGGCTTCATTTTTCAGACGCAGAGATTACTGCTTATTCTTATATGTAGTCTGGCACCTTATCTACACTCAGTACAAAAATCCCATGGTCAATCTGGGATCAGGAATCAGTTTATTTTCAATGGTCAGAAAGCCACCCGGCACCATGCCAAATCTGGTCCACTGGCTATAAACTGAGTATCACTGGTCTAGGCATTGCTTAGCAAGTTAAAATGTTTGGAGTCTGTGCAACTGCTCAGCCTCCAAATTGCTTCCTCAAATAAACTATTTATTTCAATGTCCATGTGGACATCATACACTCTCATAGACTCACCTTGAGGAGGCAGGCAGCACTGTGAAACTCATGTTTTCTTACTTTTCCACTGCATTTGATACTATACGACCTGCCACAGGAGATCTTTCCTACCTGTGGCCATGTAACTGTATAACTCCTCCCCTTTCTGTAGGGAGGAGAGCTGAAACAAAGGACACTGACAGCAATATTCACCTACATTAGATGCACTATTACTTAATATGATGCACATTAATGAAGCTCTAGCGAAAGTTCAGTCAGGAAGACAATACTTTTCATGCTCAGGCGGTGAGTTTCTTTCTCACCCTGCCATTCACTCCTTGCACGTAAGCTCACTCACTGTCTCTAGGTGTCATTATCTGGGTAGGTCAATCGAGTCATCAGCTGATTCACAATCAACCAATAGCACAGCGACGCACCTTCTCTGTCAGGCTATCATCTTACTGCTCCTCATTTTAAATATGGTTCTTTTTCTGCTGTGGTTCTTTCTTGCTGCACCCTCCACCTCCCCATCACCACCTAGTCTTTGCGGATTCATCAGCCTCATCTGCCTCAGCAGTCAGCAGCCTCAGAGTCAGCAGCCACCACCACCATCAGTGTCTGGACTCTGTGGGCTCAGATGTCCCTCGATCGCAAAATATCTCCCTCTGGTATCGAAGCACCAATAGACTCACAAGTCAGTCTTCAGACGCTTTGCTTAACTAAAGACTGATGTCTTTCTCCCTGATTTTGTGTTTAGATGGGCGGATACAATTTCAGAGTTTAAAAAAACTCCCTACGTTGCAGAACCAATAGTAAATCCGCAGGGCGGTCCTTCAGTGGCTCGCTGAACTCTTGTGCTCGTAAACATAGTCCGACTGCGTTAAAAGTTTGAAACAAAATCGCTGTAAGTCCTTCATTTCCACAATCTTGTGGACTGAGCACACGTTTGATAAAATGGAGTTAAATCTCTCGGCATCCATTTTCAAGCTCTCTGTGTATTTGTTTCCTTGCGGACGAGAAAAGGGGGAGCGCACATTTCCGGGAGGGCGTGTCCTTTTAAAAAATGCAAGAGGCGTTGCTTTGTTGCCGGCCGTTTTCTCCGGTGTGTTAAACACATTTTAGAAAGGAATGTCCCCAGACTATCAGAAGGCGGAGATCTCTGATTGTCTGGTGGCGAGACTAAAGGACCAAAGACTTCTGTTAAGTCTTAATCAGCACAAATCATCTGTTAATCTGTACACTTATATTCTGTATTAAATATTATCTTGACTTCATTCTTCTGTCTCTCCTGATTGAACTACTTTAAAATATCTTACGCAATATTTTTCTTCAACATCATGTTCCCTTGTCAGTGTAGTGCAATATCATTTTCTCATTGTCATATTGTTTTCATTATAACATTGATTATCAGGAGCAGTCTATTTTGTCAACCATTTTAGTTCATTTGTAGTAACTCCTGTTCTTATCATAGTCCTATTGTTACTCTATTAGTCACTGGTTTTTGCTTCTGCTCATTGAAAACACTTCTATCTTGTACAGTTGTGTATTTTTAAATAGCTTATTATTCTAAAACTGGGCCCAGTGAGTGACCCTGACCCGGGGGACCCACTGGTTGTCTGGTTGGTACTGGTTTTGAATTGTTAAAAGTGTGGTTCCTGTAATTTGAAGAAGCTCTATTGAACTGAATCGAATTGAATTGAATATATTTAGTACTGTAAAATAAAAGCTTATAACCGGAAGTATACTATGATTCTCACTGTAGTAGTTTATTTTGAAATCAATGCAGGAAGTACTATCACTTCATACCGTGTGACCTGACAGTGGTGACAATGGGTGGGCAGAGCTGTGACAAAGTCAGATATATCCGAGTGGCAGCGGCTTATACACAGAAAATGAGAGGAGATCAGCCTTGTCATGCAGCTGTAAGGTCTTTACACAGGCGATAAAAAGTGATTAGGATTATTAAATTATTCTGATAGTCAGTCTTCAGTCATGAAAAGTGTTAGTTAATTAATGAGGAACAACGGTTGTTCTGTTATAAAGAAGGAAGACGCAGGAGGTGATGGAGGAACCGTCACGAAATTAGACCAAAAAGAAACGAACATGAGGATTTGAAATGAGAGGACCAAGAAAATGGTTTTCAGGTTTTATGGAATTTAAATAGGCTAACTTTTTTCTACGATGCAGAAGAGATGGATACGCCGGAAGTTGCCTGTCTTGATTTTCACCTTCTTCATCATTCTCTACGTGGATTTTCAATTACGCACCAGCAGCCTGCCCAGACTCAGTGCGGCTCACTATCCGTCTCCCGGTGCGCTTCACCGCTCCATCCAGCAGGCTCCATCCCCGGCCAAGGACGCACAGAACCCGGCGGGCAACAGCAGCAGCAGCAGCGGGGACAGAGGACACCCGGCCTCTGATGATGGTACAGGTGCACATGTCACGCAGCCGAAACTGAAGCTGGAGGACATCTTCGTCGCTGTGAAGACCACCGGGAGGTTCCACAAGACGCGTCTTACTCTGCTTTTGGAGACGTGGATCTCCAGAACCAAGGCGCATGTGAGTGTGTGTTGGGTCTGATCTGTTATGGGCTGCTTTAAAAAGGCTTACATATCACAACAGCTGCTGCTGTCACCTAAAGCCACCTGCATTTCACCTAAAGACACCCGCACCTAAGTCACATATGTCTTAGTCAAAGCATACTCTCTCTGTTTATATTGAATTATGTCTAAATGTTTAAGAAAAGAGACCAAGTGTCAGCTGAACACTTCACCGGAGATTTATGATGAAACTCCTGAACCTGTCTAGAGTCATACATTTATTAGATGTATGGGTCTCATATGTGTGTGTGTATATATATATATAAATATATAGGCTACACACACACACACACACACACACACACACATATGTAGGCCTATAAGAAGACGTGGTGTAGGCTTGATGATGAAATGAAAACATTCATTTCCTTCCTGCTTTAAAGCTGCAGATCTGATGACTGTTTAGTTGCAGGGTGATGTGGTTGGTCAATTTTACTGGCAACTATCCTGTTAGAGTTACACACAGATGAAAACATGTAGAGAGAATCATCAGAAACAGGCCTGTTGAAACCTTGGTGTCAGTCTGATAAAGCTCAACTTTAACCAGCTTTCTTACCTCCATCTGTGACATTTAGGTATTGCAGGGACATAGATGAATTTTTCAGACCCAAAACATAACAGTCATCACAATGTAAGGGTTTGGTTTAAAGAAACGGTGTGTAAGATTTAAGGAGATTTGGTGTCGTCTAGCGGCGAGGATTGCAGATTGCAACCAGCTGAAACTTCTTCCTATTAGAATTTCTTCAGTGTTCATTGTTTAGGAGGTTTTTACCAGGAGCCGAATTATCCACAGAGGTCTCTTCCTCTCCAAAAGAAACACACCAGGTGATTAAAACTAGTAAAACATAGAATAAAGTAGTTTAACGCTACAAATCATAGTTTCTCTGATGCTGTTTGGCATGTCGGATATGACAGTTAGCCTAGCATCTGCTAATGAGTGCTCACCTTTTTTCCAACCCAGTCTCACTCTAAAGTTGCCCTGTTACATCGGCATGATACGCAACCGGTCGCTGTTACAGTTTAACGGTGCTTGGCGGCGTCAGGGGGAAATGCGGCGGGACAAGAATGAAGGTTAAGGTGGGTGAAAGTCCAAGTAGGGCGGGCAGGAGTGGTGGTGGATGGGTCCAACAAACACCGACTTTCACCTGGAAGAGCGGTGTTTGCGTCCCGTAAAATTATAAAGCCAAACCCTGTTCTTTTTGCCTAAACCCAACCATGCGCGTTAGTTGTTGGAGGGAAAAAAAATGTCGATTCTGGTTGTTTTATTGACATAGTGCATTTATTTTGAAAGAGACTGTATGTAAACAGTGAATTTCCTGTGAAAACGGAAGTGTATTTTGAAAGAAGACAATGCATGTAACAGGCAGAACTTGACACGACGTCCCAGAACGTCAACAACCAACACACCCAGGGTATGTTGCACATCGTATCTGAACGTGGAAGGTCCATGACCAAACGTTCTCTCGCAAATCAGTGTTTTTCTGATGCTGCTCAGCATTGAGGGGCTTCTAACTACAGTAGCCATCATGAAAACACGAATGACCCTATCTAGAGCCAATGTTCGGCTTGTCTATACTGGGTTACTGTAGAAACATGGCGGTGCAACATGGCTGACTCTGTAGATGAGGGCCTGCTCCCTATGTAGGTATGATCGGCTCATTCTAAGGTAACAGAAACAGTTCTTTCAGGAAGCCTAATTATCCACTAAACAAAACGTCCTTATTACATGATGATCAATTTCTGCCAATATACTCCCTAAATTCTACACACTTTACCTTTAAAGACTCCAGTGAAGGCAAGATTGGGTGTTCAGGTGTCATGAGTGAGCTTTTGAGACTCAGAAACACATAACCTCGCAAACTTGTTGAACGCCTTGTCTGTAGAATAGCTGTTATTTTGCCATCAGTCCAGTTCAAAAGGTTTTATTACAGGGCATCCAACGATTTTCATCACACAGGAGTTCTGATATTGAGTGCTGAATTTCAGGCAGCAGTGGCCCATTTTTTTCTCCCTGTCTACTCTTTCAGTATACTTATTGTTGAAGTCAGAGGTGCTTTATTCTCATGAAATACAAAATCACGCACTGTAGGCTGGCTGGCATTTTACTCAAGCTCCCAGCGAGGCTTTGCTAACTACAGTTGTATCTGTGACTGATGAGTGGCTCGTCCAAACAGCATCTCTGATCTATAGAGGCTTGGTTCGTCCAACCTGGCTGGTAAAATCAGAGTTAATCTTCAGAAAAAATGCATGTGAAGGATTCTGAGTTGGTGGAAATGATGATTGATTCACAGGGTTGACAGTACAGTACAGCACAGGATAGATTCAGTTATATTATTGATTCCATGTTGTGGTTCATGGAACAAGAGTTCATTTCCTTTTATTAAAACAAGTGAAACAGATGAACAGTGGTCTTCGGAGGGAGCGTTTAGCTTTTAGCTTCTTGTTTTCAAAGAAACTGCTGATTTAAGAGAAATGATTTTGAGAGTGAAAGAGGAAGATACTGATAGTGTATTCCTCTTTCTAAATGCGAAGGCAAAACACAAGATAGTGCCATGTTTGCTTTGGGTAATGATCTGATGCATTTGAGAATACACACACACATACACACACACACACACACACGCACACAAACTGACCATCTATACATATTAACCCACAAAGATATAAGCATAGATGTAGTAATACAGGAACACACACACACACATACACACGCACACACACACACACACACACACACACACACACACACACAGACCAACTATACACATTAACCCACAAAGATACAAGCATAGATGTAGTAATACAGGAACACACACACACACACACACACACAGGAAGCTGTGCAGGCAGGTTGTCTGGACTGAAGGGAAGCAGCCGGCGTGTAGCAACGCTGTTAACAATACTAAAACGGAAGCTGGTCATAGAACAGGAAGTGGAGAGGCAGATTGCAGAACAGAACGAACCTCATCTTACCCTTACTCGCACCCCCCCACACACACACACACATCACAAGACTGTCCATTTCTCAGGGTGAAAAGTCATTTCTAACCAGCGCGGCAGCTTCTGTTACTGCACAGCTAATCTGCTCAGAGCCGGAAACAGAAGTGCGAGGACAGAAACTGTTCTCTAAAAAGTGTTTTTTTTTTCGGTCCCCAAGATGATCTAGGACCCCTGGGTGCCTTCAATCATATTGGTGGAGATACACTTGTTTTTAATGGCTAAATATGATCATCAGAGGAAAGGTAAACACGAGTACACAACCATGCTAGCAGTTATATGAGACACAGTATTACTTTTAGCTAAATGTCATAATAATCTTTTATTTCCAATTAGGACTGGGCGATATGAAAAATAAAATATTACATTTTTATTTTTACCAAAATAATTTTGATAAATATTCATCAGTAATGTGGATAGAATGACTAAGGGGGTAAAGGAAAATAATAGAACAGTCACGTCGACACGTCACCCTGTGTCAGTTGCATTTGAACACACTACAAAGATGACATCCGATGGCCAAGTAGCACGTACGTTCTGCGCCTGCGTGAGAGAGAGCGGAGTGACAGAGTGGTACATCCTGTCAGCCGAAGGGTTTCCTATCTGTGCAGCCGAGCACCGCAGCCCCTCCACGGACTATTACATCCAGACGGTCCCGGTGTTTCCTCAGCAAGCTCCACTTCACTCAGCTCACCCGCTGCTTCTTCCCACTTTAACCTGAATAACAAACCAGGGCTCGGTGCTCCGGTTGGATCCAAACGGAGAAAGCTAGCGGAGGCTAACTGGCTGTGCTTCCCTCCGGTCATGCTGCGGCTAACGCTCCGCTAACCTCACAGCTAGCCCCGGTTTCTTATTCAGGTTAAAGTGGGAAGAAGCAGCGGGTCTGTCAGGCAGCTGAGTGAAGTGGAGCCTGAGGAGGAAGCACCGGTTAGCCCCGGTTTCACTACAGGCAGATTCACTCGCTACAGGGGTGAGGAAGTAAAACCTAAACAGCCAATCAGAGTGATCTCTCTCACTGGCAAGCTCCGCCGCCGATTCAACATGCTCAATCAGCTGAAAAGCCGCCAATGCGGACACCGTAGTGCCGACGGTGCGGGACACACCGCAAAACTAGGGTGACAGACGCTCACCGACGGCCAGTCGTCGGCTTTGTGTGTCAATCTTACATATTGCTAAATTAAAACCATGAAAAAACAACTCATATGATATAACAATATCCAAAACATAAGACATTATCTAGTCTCATATCACAGTATCAATATAATATCAATATTTTGCCCAGCGCTGTTTCCAATGCTGACATGATGTTGTGATGATGTTTAGCAAGCACGGTGGAAACCACTTAAAGTGATCACATCCAATTTCTCTCAATAAAACAAGTCTCCAGGAAGCCTTTGGCTGCTAGTCATTGCTGCTAGTGTTGGAGACAACTGCACACAGGGAAAGCACCCGTGGTTGAAACCGCCCACGTGCAGTGGATTGATAATGCCCACACAGACAAAACAAAAAGCATAGCTGAGTCTGATGGGATGGTACTTTTTTTGCAGATATTTTGTCATAAACCAGAGTATTGGACTATAATTTTGCCTTAATGGTGGCGCTATAGAAGCAAAGTCACAAAAGTAATGAGGGTTCATCTTCTGGGAACGATGAATGTCTGAGCAACATTTTGTCACATTCCATGACGGAGATGTTATTTCACAGGATAAGTACAAGTTTTGACCTGGTGGTGGCGCAAGAGGAAAAGTCAGAGAACCACCAAAGTCATCCTTAAGCCCAGTTCAGACCAAAGATTCACGATGAGAGGAGCTGAAACACTACTCTACTTGCAATGTGCTGTTCTGTAACATTCTAAAAACATGCAGGTTCACGCCAATGCAACTTGATGAAGCTGTGCATCATCTCTATGCAACAACTCTCTGTGCTTCTGTTCTGATTTCCAGCCTTACCTCCCGGTAATTT